TCAAAATTCAGTTCCGTAGGGGCTGTGCAGGCACCCCGCGCACACCGGCCGGCCCGCTGTCCTGGGGCTGCTCTCGGGGTGTTCTGCCCCCTCCATTTCCTCGGAGCCGCTCCTGTCACTTTTCAGAACTGTCAAATGGACTTGGCCTCCATCACCTCAGGTTTGGACTAAACCTTTCTACTCTGATAGGAAACCAGATATGAAAATGTACTTGAACTGTGTGAACTGCGTGAGCTTTAAATTCACAGGCGTGTTCTGAAACGGGTCAATCTTCTATTATGTGTTTACTTTTTACTTCTCTCTGGTGTTCCACATATGAAAAATTTCCCAGAAAACTAAACTCCAGATTTCAAAGATTCTACTACATAGTTCTTAATGTTTCCTTATTAAAAGCATTTCTTACTTTCAGAATCAGATTCAAATAAACGTTATATGATATTTGGGCAAAAATAAAAATATGTAAATACCCTGATGTGCTTTTTTATTAAAGTTGAAACTTCCTCAAATTGTTAAAACATTACAATATTGACTTCCCAATATTGAAACTGGTTTCAAACTTCAAGTTAACAATATTATGATGCTGTACAAAGCTGTCACAATCTACAGTGATTACAGCAGACCCACACAGAGACACATGAAAGGTACTTCCTTCACGCCAAATTACATTCATTCTAAAAGCACATGGCGAGGCAATTACGAGATGAGGACCCAACCGTCAGATGAACTCACAGACATATTCCCACAAGGAGACACATACACTGCTCATTAGGAAATTCTCATTGTTGAAACAAGGCTATGCTGCTTCTTCTTGCACATTCCCTATTTTAATTTCATTTTCCTTCAACTGATTTGGGGAATCATCTCATTTTTTACACTAAAACCCTCATGAAACTTTTTGTGTCTGATGTGCCAAATCAGAGGAGTCACAAACTACAGGTCACATATACGTATTACTAGCAATTAATGGTTTCTCTTTTTAAAGTTTAAACAGAAATCAGAACTGCACAAGCTTCAAATTATGAGGATATTTGGAAATGTTCAATTTTATATATTTATGTGTTTAGGAATATATTAGGAAAGAACACTAACTTTAAGCTTTAATATACACATCTGTGGTATTTTAACTCTCATTCTTTTTTAACTAGTACTTACTATTAAAGGGAAGAAAAGGCAGAAATGGGGTAAGAACTACAAATTAATGTTACTTTTATGTGATTTAGATATAATACAGCAGGATAACTTAAAAGGCAAAAAAAGCAACGAAATTTTGCACACATTCCTGACAAAAAGCCTCCGGAAGAGCTGCCCACATCAAACAGGAACAAAACAAGGATGTTCACTGTTGTCAGATCACAGGACTAATGTCACTCCTGAAACATTAACAACCAGACAGCTGAGAAAGGTACTTGCTCAGTGAATTTGACTCTCCTTGCAGAAAACTCCTTTTAGCATTTTCCAAAGACAAAAGTTGACTCAGTAGTGGATGAGGTGCGTTTCATGGTTGCTAAGCCTTGTGAGACGCCCAGGATACCTAGTTCAAGTTCCACTGACCTCCCGCACAGGACCACAATCACGGAAGCTTCTCACACTCTAAGAAGTGCAGAACCAGGGGTCAGCACGTGGAGGTTAGCCACGTGGGAACACTGGGGAGGCTGGGGCATTAACCACCACAGGTTATTTACAGCAGCTGTGAGGCCTCACACTCTTTCATAATAGAACACACTCTTTTCTGCCGAGGAATGGCTTTGAAGTAATACTATGCAAAATTACATTTGGAGAGCCTTTCAAAGTCCATTCCAGACAGAGATCAAGCACCACACTCCTCCTACAGCTATATCCAGCAAGACTAGCAAAAACCACACAAGTTTTCTACAAAGCAGTACTTAAAAAGTGGCCTTCTGTGCAGCTGTGTTTTGCTAGATATCTGGGTCTTTTCTATCTGTGTTCTCCTTGTTTCTACTCAACCAAAAGTTAACTGCTTTTAGTTTGCAAATTTGAATTTTCAAGCCAAATCCTAATTATAGCAGGGCCCCAAATTACTCAACTGATTTCTCTAACCAGTTACACGACCTTGGGAAGTTAGGTCGTGTAAAATGAGAGCCCTGGGCTAGGATGGACTAGAATGTAAACGGCATGTTCTGTGCACCATTGTCCTGCCTGTCCCTGGCACCCGGAAGCATGCGGTGTTTACTGAGCGACAGAATCACTGCTGTCCCCACACCACAAATAAAATAAATGTGATCATTTTCTCTTTTTCAATCAATTAGATTTTATTCTGTGTATTCCCACACACTTTTCGGGGGACACTGAAACTGAAATCTTGTATACACCAAGCAGAAATTCATACGACTTCAAACACTCAGTTATTAGAAATAAAAAGGGTAAATCACACAAGCGCTGACACTGTGCGCCCAATCTGTCACTCTTCCTTCCTTTTAGCCCATTATGATCTGTTTTCCTCGGTGGGGAGAAAGAACCGTGGAGTGCCAGCTCCACCTCTGCTCTGAACTGGCTCTGGGGACAAGCCACTTCCCCTCGGGGCCTGAAAGGCTGCATTTGTAAAACAAGGGCACTGAGCTGTTGATTTCTAAACTCTTCTGCTTTAGCAAATCTTGTTCCTTTTAATTCCTCCCAATGCCTTGAGTCAGTGCTCACCACACCATTCTGAGACCTTGACAAGGGCCTCAAGATGTGTCTCTTCCTCCTTTTCATTTTCTTTATCATCTTTATTGCATCTGAATGAATTCAGCTCTGAAAAGGAGTCCAGCAGAGTGGAAAGCACACTGGCTTTGAAGTCAGAACTGTGTTCAAACGCAGCTTCTGCCACTAAGTGTCTCCCTAAAATAGTGATGTGACTAACCATCCCACTGAGGGGTAAATGAAATGTTCAAAGTGCTAACACAAGACCTAACATCCGGCACATGCGCAACATCAGGCCCTTTAACGATGTCCCTCGATCAAAAGCTTCAGTTTCCCACTGTGGACAGCAAGGAGGGCCGGCAAGCCGCACAGGTGGCACGCATGAAGACTTCCTAAAGCACGGAGGCAGACCTCGAGCTGACGTTATCGCCAGGCTCCTGTGCGCGGCCAAGCGGGGGCCTGCACTTAACACCAGCACAGTTCATCTGCAAAGCGGCCTCAGCCAGCAGCCCTCCTCAGCTCCCCTGGGCCAAATCCACAGCCTGAACGCACTATTTACAAGACAGGGTTTTGTAGAAAACCTATTTAACTCCTCAGCCGGCAACCCATGTGAAACGAAAACTCTCAATTATTTGTGCTTAATGTATCTGCAGTAAATGAATGTTGATGTACCACCAAGCGTTATAGTAGGATTTTTCCATCACAGGAAATTAAAAGGTGTGACAAAAAAAAAATATTTCTCACATAACGAAGACAGACTGAGCTGGAAGAGTTACACCAACACCTTCAGAACAAGCAGTGGTTTTCTTCCTTGATTCAAACTAGAAGGCCCAGGGCGAGAAGTGACAGGGACGGGCAAGCAGCAGCTCATTCCCCAACACGCGTTCAAGCACAGTTCCTTGATTATATGGGAATCCTTTTTAATTCCCTAACAAGGAGTAATAACAAATCTTCACTCCCATGCCTGCATCAATGGCGCAGCTGAGGCAGTGGGCGAGCTAGCAAGCGTGTGAAAGTCTGGAAACCAGAGAAATCTTGTGCAAGACATCTATTTTGCTTTTCTTTTTGGAAGTGCGACCTTCTTTCCCAAGCTACTTCAGCCCAGTAACTGCTGCAAAAAGGATTTCACCTTACTCGGGAAAAGCTCTCTCAGAAGGCTCAGCTTCATGAAGAATTGTCCAAATTCCTGTCTCTGTCTAAAAACAGACCAGTTGATTTAAAACCTGTGCAGTGCTGAACCCTGAGACACACTAATCAATGAATCTGACCAAAAGTCCTCTCCCGGCTGCCATTTTCCTGCAAAGTAATTGCTTACAGCACCGTTGCTCCCAGTTCAACTTTTTCCCCCACTGTAGTCAAACTCTGTCATCTTCTCACCATGTCCCTTGCACACATCCCCAACCAGAGAGGCCTCGTCTTGTCCACTTAGACTTGAGATGTCTGGCCAAAGCCAGCAGCCTGGAGGGCCTTCTCCTTCGCGCCCACGTATCTCCCACCCCGTGCCTGTCACCCTCCCCCGTGGCTCCAGTACCACTCCCCAGTCGAGTTTTCCCTCATTTCTGACCTAATTATCTGACCAATGCCCCACCAACACCCAGGCTGGCTCCCAACTCCATTCCCCAATTCCAGCCCCCATCGCCGCACAGATCTCTCAGCCCCACCCTCCCCACGTCCAACCCCACGGCCTGGATACCTGACCTTCCTCAAGACCCGTCCTCCCCACACCTACAGCAGCTGAGCCCCCTCCTCCACCTTCATTCCGGGCCCCTACCAGTCCCTCCTCCATTCAGACCCTGCCCAGTGTCCCCTCGTTCTGACCCTCGGCTAGAACCCACACCCGATTCCCACCACCACCAGCAATCCCACGACCCTAGCAAAGCCACGACTCTAGCTGGTCCATCCCACTTTTTCTCCGACCCCGAACCTGGTGCCTCCCGCAAGCCTCCACTGAAACCCGGTGCCATGAAATCTGCAACCCAGTCCACCAGTTCGCCATTTCTGACCCCACATATCTGCGTGCTCCCCACTAGTGGCTCCAGACTACCGTGCCTGCCGCCCCCTACCTCCGAGGCTAGCCCTGGACCCTCCTCCCCATCCCCGACCTCCAACCCGCTCCGTCCGCGGGCTCAGCCCGAGTCCTAGGAAACCCTTCCCACCCCGTCCCGCGGCCCTAACTCCCATTCGGATTTCTGCCCTACGGGGCCCTCTCCCCCACGTGACCCCGGGCCAGTGACCTCGGTCCCCGACGAGAGCCCTCCACCCCCATTCCGGCGCCCGCTAGCTCAGTGGGGTGTGTCCCCTCTCCACCCACTGCAGCCCGGCAGCCTCGCCCGCGGGGGTCAGGGGTTGCCCCTCCTCACCTCCGCGTCCACCACCTCGTGGTAGGCGGGCGGGGGGTCGAAACCGCCCCCGCCGCCGGTGCTCCCGCCGCGGGAGGGGCCGCCGCCGCCGCCGTCCCCGCCGCCGTCGCCCCGGGGGCCCCCGCCGGGGCTGGGGCCGCCGCCGCTGTCCATCGGCTCGTAGCCGCCGTAGTCGAGGCCCGGCCGCTCGTTGGTGAGCAGCGCCACGGCCTCGTTGATGTCGTTCTTGGCCAGGCGCAGGGCCTTGCGGATGGTGGCGGGGTCCGAGAAGCCCATGCACAGCAGCGTGGTCATGTGCTGCTCCTCCTCCGATTCCATGGCTCGGGCCTCCGGGCCGTGCCGGCCGGCGAGCGGCGACGCTGCGGCTCTAGGGCCTGGCGGGCGGCGCGGCGCTACCTCCGCGCGGTCTCCGCGCCTGGGCGGGCCCCTGCGCTCCTGCCCCGTGAGCTCCGCAGCCGCCGGGCCAGGTTGGGTGCGGGCGTGGGCGCCGCGAGCTGAGCCGGGGCGGTGGGGCGCTCAGGCACGGCGGCGGCGCGGCCCAGCCCTGCGCGCCGCCATGTTGGCCTCCTCCTCCTCCTCTCCGGGCCGCGGGGCCGCGCCTCCGCTCCCGGAAGCGGCACGAGCCGCGACCGGGCTCCAGTCTTTAGGCAAGGCGGCGGCTGTTTTGTTGTTTTGGCTTTTTTTTTTTTTTTTTTTTCCCCTTCACTAAAGGAGCGGAAGGCGGGGCCGCGCCGCGAGCGTGTTAGGGTGAAAGGGCTGTCGGGGCAGAGGCGAGGGAGGGTCCGTCGCTGCTGCCGCCGCCGCCGCCGCCGCCTCCGCCCTCCCATTTCTCCGGCAACAGGTTCCCCCGGGACGGGAGGGGCTGGCGCGGAGCCGCTGTCAGTGCTGAACGCCGCTGAGGCCCCAGCGCTCGCAGCCGAACTGCGTCGGAGCCCCCTCGGGACTCCCCCTGCCTGGCTGGCGCGGCCCGAGACGCACCCCCGCCCCCCATCCTAGAGGGAGTCCCCTGCGCCGCGACTGTCATCCGCTCCAGCCCGGCTGAAGCGCACGGCAGCCCGCGGGATCCACCCGCAGCGCTGCCCGAAGCCGCCCACAGACACCAACGCCCAAACCCGGCGCAGCGACCCCCGGAGTGCACATTCACTCCCACGTAATCCACGAGGCGCTCCGGCCCTCCCTGAAGTCACCCTCACGGCGTTTGAAACGAATTCCCAGTCCTGACTGCATTTTCCTTGCGACGTTGGCGGACCACCTGCCGCCAGCCAAGCCTATCTGGGCTCTGCGAAACGCTGAGGCTGGAATCCCCTGAGAGTCGAAAATACAATTTTTTCCAAGCTGAAATCTGAATCGCAGTGCTGTGTAGGAAAACCTCCCACTCGCACGCTGCGTTGCCCTTCTTCAGCCACACTCACGGGGACGTTCGGAGCTCAGGATCCCGCACTGGGGCTTCCCCCTGAGATCCAGCACCCCCGCTCTGCCTTAGAAGGCCTGCTTTGCTTTCCATTTAGCGGTGGCCCTCTGGGGCCTTATCTTAGTCCCCTCCAGGCCACCCTCTAAGCGCTTGCGAGTTCCAGCTGCAATTTCCTTCGGCTTCTTCTTGTCCTGGGGTCCTTCTGCCGCCCCCTCTCAAGATCCAGATGCCTTCCCTTCCTTCCCTGGCAGGAGTTGAGGTCAGTTTCTAATGCCCTCATCTTGGTTTCTTCCTGAACCTTAATCGCACCAACTACTTCTGTTGGGGCCTGTACTGTGGCGCGGGGGAGTTAAGCTGCGGTTTGCAGCACCGCATTCCGTATGGGCACTGGTTCAAGTCCTGGCTGCACTACTCCAGCTCCCTGCTAATGCGCCTGGGAAAGTAGCAGAAGATGCCCTCCGCTCCCCCCACTCCCAACCGTATGGGAGACATAGAAGATCTTGGCTCCTGGCTTGGGTCTGGCCCAGCCCTGGCTGTTGTGGCCATTTGGGGAGTGAACCAGCAGATGGAAGATCACTCTCTGCTCTTGCTCTTCAAATAAATCTTAAAAAATAAAAAAAATAAAAAAGGAACAACAGCAAACAAAACCTTCTGTTAACATCCCAACCCTAAGATCTCTACATAGCCCAAATCTTAAAATAGAAACAGTACCCAGACACTTTGTTGGCTAGCATCTGTTTCCTGGGACACTGACTCCTTACCTAGCGGTTGCCACCTATGCGTGTCCTCACCAGCAATTTGATTTCCTGAGTGACTTTATCACTATTGTTTACAAGTAAATGAAAATTACTGTCTTCCTTGTTATTAAAGGTCAGGTTACAGATGAGAGACTAGGCCTTGGACTAAAGTAGTGTTAATTTCTGAATGAAAACAACAAAGGAGTCTTTACATTTCTGAATCACAACGAAAAGACCCTGCTAAGGAAGCAGGCAAGACACAGTGGTTAAGCTGCTCTGAGGACGCCCACAGCCCAGGTGGAGTGCCAGCTGCTCCTCCTCCTATCCAGCTTCCTGCTAATGCACCCTGGGAGGCAGCAGGGGATGGCTCACATATTTGAGTTCCTGCCACCCACATGGAAGACCAGCCTGCAGTTCTTTGGCTCCCTGCTTTGGCCTGGCCTTGGCCTAGCCCTCTCTGTTGCAAGTAGTTAGGGACATGTTCCCCAGCAGATGGAAGATTTCTCTCTCTGCTTTTCAAGTAGGTGAAAATAAACATTTTTTTTAAAAATTTTGCTAAGGAAGAATGTCTACAGTCGGTTTGAAGCTAAATGTACACACTGAAATAAAATTTTACTGTTACCAACTTTTAGGTACTGATGAAGTTTTTTTGTTTTTTTTTTTGTTTTTTTTTTTTTTTTTGACAGGCAGAGTGGACAGTGAGAGAGAGAGACAGAGAGAAAGGTCTTCCTTTGCCGTTGGTTCACCCTCCAATGGCCGCCGCGGCCGGCGCGCTGCGGCCGGCGCACTACGCTGATCCGATGGCAGGAGCCAGGAGCCAGGTGCTTTTTCTGGTCTCCCATGGGGTGCAGGGCCCAAGCACCTGGGCCATCCTCCACTGCACTCCCTGGCCACAGCAGAGAGCTGGCCTGGAAGAGGGGCAACCGGGACAGAATCCGGCGCCCCAACCGGGACTAGAACCTGGTGTGCCGGCGCCGCTAGGCGGAGGATTAGCCTAGTGAGCCGTGGCGCCGGCCGGTACTGATGAAGTTTTAAATATTTATCTGTAGCACGTGAAGATCAAGTGTCATAAAGTACATGCCAAAGTGTTCAATTTATTCAACCGATGTGTACTGTTCACCAGGGCCCAGGCACTGTCCTTGGCAGTAGTGCTGGGCCTGTGAACAAAACAGACAAAAATTGAGGATGGCAGAGTGAGATCATTCCAGCTTGCCCTGTGTCTCAAGAGTTAACTCAGCGACCCTGTTAAGAAATGACTTGCACAGAGAGAAAGTAAGTAAAGAAAAAAATGGTTTGTCACTAAAATTCGAGATAAACCCAAGAGGTGAAGAGTGTGAGCCAGCGGATCCAGATGACACGTGAAAACACTCAGCGGCAGGGGCAGGGCCACGGAACACCGCAGAGGAAGCTGTGCCAGCTGTGAAGAGGAAGCAGAGAGCACACAGTTTGATTAAAAAAAAAAAAAAAAACACTAGAGAGGAGCCATAGAAGGCCACAAAACACAAGGAAGGCCATTTCTGAGCCCGGTCCTAGAGTGACTGAAAACCAGAGTGTCGTTTGAGGATGCACGTGGTGTAAGCACATTGCTTTCTGCACGTGAGAAAGCAGGGAGCACTTAAACCTTGTTGAATTGGGATAGAAGCAGGCGTGGGGCCGATGGTATGAGTCTCCATACTTTACATGTTTATTTTTGTTGCAGTAAAATCCAGAAAACGTTAAAAGGACTTAAATAAATTACACTAAATTCCCATATAGCCTTTTCTAGACGTTTCTTCAAAAACAGGAGAGGGGTCTAGAAGTGAGGTAGGGACTATGATAAAGACAACACATACGAAGGTTTTCTGATATTAATTCGTAATTTTTTAATTATCGAGTGTCTATTTTCAGCCAGGCTTAAGAACAGGGAGGCATTTATGAGCAAGACACACAGAGTTTCTGCCCTTTTGGAACCCATTATCTATCAAGGGAGATGGACCAATAAGCAATAAAGTCTAATAGGTGCCTTAACAGAATTTCAAGATGTAACAGGTACATTTCTTGCTCTCTGTTAGCGGCCACTTTGAGATGAAGAGTGGAGTTTTGTTTTCTTATCCAATATACAATGTTTGTCTTTTGGGTCTCTGTTTGCAGTGCTTCTCCTCAGATATGTCTAGATGTGATTTTTCTATGTTTACCTGCCACATGGGTGGCAGAGGCCCAAGCACTTGGGCCATCCTGTTGCCTCCCCACTGCGTTAGCAGGAAGCTGAATCAGAAGTAAAGAAGAAGCTCGTGCTGTTGCACAGCGTGTTAAACCTCCGCCTTCAACACTGGCATCTCATTTGGGCACTGCATCAAGTCCCAGCTGCTCTACTTCCGGTCCAGCTCCCTGCAAATGCACGCAGGAAGGCAGTGGAAGATGGCCCAAGTTCTTGGGCTCCTGTAGCTATGTGGGAGACGCGGAAGAAGCTCCTGGCTCCAGCCCCAGCCATTTAGGTAGTGAACCAGCAGATGGAAGATCTCTCTCTCTCTCTCTCTCTCTCTCTGTATTTCTAACTCTCAAATAAATAAATAAAATCTTTAAAAAAATGTAAAATAAGGATGAAGAAGTCAGTACTTGAACTAGCACTCCAACTTGGGATGCCAGTGTCATAAGCAACAGTTTAACACATTGCATCATGATACCTGTTTCTAAAATGATATTTAACACCGCAGATTTTGTTGGATGCAAATTCATGGCTACTGTCTATATTAAAAAAAAAAACAGCCAGAAAATTGACATAAGTGTTCACACTTTGAATATTCTTATTGGGCATTGATATTGATAACAGCTTTATTGAGATATAATTCACATATCACATATTTTAGTATTTGCACAGATATGTGCAGCTATCATCACTGTGCATGTTATAGTATTTTCATCACCTAAAAAGAAATCTTGTACGGTTTCACTCTCCTATCTCCCCTTTCCCACCAGGTCTAAACAACCATGACTCTACTTTCTGCTTTGTCTATTCTAGAAGCTTCATATCAATGAAATTTTGCAATATGTGATATTTTGAGTTCGACTTTTTCACTCGGCATACTTTTCCAAGTTTTATCATGTTATAGAATATATCAGTACTTCATGGCACTTATGGCTGAATAATTTTACATTGGCTGGATTATCCCCTCTTGAAGGACATTTGAATTGTTTCCACCTTTTGGGTATTGGGATCTCACCACCATAAACATTTAAGTAAGTTTGTGTGTGGACATATGTTTTCACTTCACTTAGGTATGTATCTAATTGTTGAGTGAGTAACTTTCTGAGAAACTGTCAAGTTGTTTTCCAAAGTACATCTCATATCAGAGTGCTGGTTCAAGTCCTAGCTGTTCTGCTTCAGGTCAAGCTTCCTACTAATATGCCTGAGAGGGCAGCAGAGGA